TTTGTGTCATAATTTAGGGAATAAAGCCGATGTGGGAAGATGATAGCAACGTAAAAGGAGGTCGTTGGCTAGTAGTTGTGGACAAGCAGGTCAGTTTGTCTACGAATTGTAAAATAAGTCAACACATCATGAAAGTTCTGTTCTTCAGGTTTTTTATTGATAAATAGCCTTTAGGCAATTTGTGAACTATCTCAGCATTTTGTCCTTACCTTTTTTACTTGAAGGTATTTATATCAAGAAAAGTGCTTCTGTAACCGCTGCTCCTCTTTTGTAGAGCAGCGCTTACAGAAGTTTCCGTTGATGTATTAGATCAAAAGTGCTGTTGGAACATCTTGCTTGTTCGGTTCTGTTTCTCTTTCCAAGTAGTCTAGTTGAGCATCTCCATGCCCATGTGTTTATTGACTTACTTTCATCGAGTATTTTGTTCTCATTCACTAGTTGGTAATTTCAGCGTCGTGCACAACTTTTGGACCATTATTGGTTGGAGCTTTTAATGGCCATTATCGGAGAGCAATTTGAGGATCTTGGGGAGTACATCTGCGGAGCTGTGGTTAATGTAAGGCAAAAAGGAGATAAGGTAACATGACTTCTTTTTTTAGCCATTCTGAGTACTTTCGATTCACTCTGAATTTCTTTTTCAAATTATTAACTATTAACGGCTTATACATGAGTTCGTGTTTAAAGCATAATATCACTATCGATTTTTTAAGGAAAGCTGCAACTCCAGTTCTTCCATCAAGCTGATAACTTTGACAAAATTAGCAATAATGTCATGTCGCTTCAAGCTATACACATTTTTTACCCAGGTTTCCTTGTGGACTCGTGATGCTACCCGCGATGATGTGAACACCCGCATTGGACTTGTGCTAAAAGCAAAGTTGGATATTCCCGACTCGGAACCGCTAAGGTATGTGTTGGTCTAATTTTTTAGATAGGAGGCTTTGATAGCATCATTGCAGGTATGAGGTGCACAAAGATTCCTCCGTTCGCACTTCATCGATGGTGAAGCCACGAATCATGATTCCGAATAAGGAAGCTGCTGCAACAGCAGCTCGCTAAGCGAATATTTGCAACTGCTGTGAGAGGTGTTTCCTTATAGGCTCCACTTCCTATGCAGTCCCTAAGTAAATTATGTTTTTTT